ATGCAGTGCATTTCTCTTCTGGGGGAGGAGGGACTTGCTCCCTTGGCCCCTTGCTATTTTTCACCCTGAAGGGGCAGAAGATACGTGGAGGCTGTGGTGGAAATGAGAGAACTTGAGCACATTCTGCTCCCTCAGTGGGCCTCAGGTAGCAGTAGCCACGACTGTAAGAGTCTCATTGTGCCCAAGCTAAAGAAATTATGGAGAAAAGAGATGGGCATATTTTTAAGGGAAAGTAGAAAGCAGGTCTGTTGTAGTCCCCCAAGTATGGCAGAAGAGGAAATAGGATTGAAAAGGCATCAAGAGACATTGAAATCAGGTTTCATCATCATCTCAATGATAATGATAACCATCATTTAGAAATGCCCACTGGGCACTTCATAAAAGTTATTTCATCCTCCCAAGGACCTTATAAGGTGTATGGTATACTCATTTTGCAGCTAAGGAAACAGCATGGCTCTTGTGACAATAGTAGAAAGAGCACTGGTCTCGAAGTCATTTATTGACTATATGACCTTGGGCAAGTCATTTGACCTCCCCGGGCCTCAGTTTCCAGTTTGGGCTAGATTATCTCTAATGCCTTGTTTAGTTCTGACATAAGTGGATTGACCTTGTAAGGCAGAGAAGCCTAGACAAATAAAACCCTTTATAAACCCATCATCACCCTTATACCGTGCAAGGTAACATTCCCCCATTCAACAAGTATTCATTACCACTGATGTGCCAGGCTCTGTGCTCGGTCCTGGGATGCAGAAATGGACAAAAACAGGTCCTGCCCTCTCATGGGTTTGACTTGTGATGACTTTGGGTTGTTTTTTTAGATAGAGTTTATTTTTTAGAACAGTTTTAGATTTATAGAAAAATTGGGGAGATAGTACAGACAGTTCCCATATACCCTCTCACCCAGATTCCCCTATCATTAACATCTTACATTAGTATGGTACATTTGCTATAATTAATGAACCAATATTGATACATTATTAACGAAAATCTATAGTTTATTCAGAGCTCCTTAGTTTTCACCTAATGTCTTTTTCTGTCCCAGGGTCCCATTTTAGATTTAGTCAGCATGTCTCCTCTGACACAGGCTCCTTATGGCTGTGACATTTTCTCAGACTTTCCTTATTTTTTATGATCTTGATAGTTTGAGGAGTACTGGTCAAGTATTTTGTAGGATGCCTCTCTACTGGAATTTGTCTGATGTTTTTTCTCATGATTAGACTGGGGTTATGGTTTTGGGGAGGAGGATAGCAAAAGTAAAGGGCTACCTTCGTCGCATCATATGGAGGGTACATCCCATCTACATGACTTATGACTGTTGATATTGGCCTTGACCTGGCTATGATAGTGTTTGTCAAGTTCCTCCACTCTAAAGTTACTCTTTTTCCCCCCTTTGCATACAGTGCTCTCGGAAGGAGTCACTCTGCACAGCCCACGCTTAAAAAGTGGAGAGTGCCCTCCTCCTAGAGGGCAGAGAATCCACATAAATCATTTGGAATTCTTCTGTAAGAGAGAGTTGCATCTTCTCCCCCATTTATTCATTTATTTGATCATTTATTTATATCAGCGTGGGCCCAATTTATTTACTTTCTACTTTGGGTTATATTTATATTATATTTATTTTTTACTTTGGGTTATAAATCAATTCTACTTTTATTTTTTGCTCAAAATTTTCCAAACTATCTCTTGGGAGTTCTTTCAGTTGACTCCTCTGTCCCTTTGACATATCTCCATCAATGTAGGGTCTTTTTGCTTTTTGAGCACTTCTTTATTTTCTGGCACTGTGAGATGGTCCAGTTTCATCTTGTATATTTCCTGTTGCAGTCCTAGAATCGCCATTTCTCCCAGGAGCCTTGGTTCCTTTTATTGAAGAATGGTATTAGAAGCCAAGATCTGGGTGCTAGGTGTACTTGTTGCCAGTGGGTTTGTTCTTGTTGTTTTTAATTGTAAGTTTTTCAGATTATAAAATAAATACATGCGCATTAGCAGAGCTATTTAGAAAACGCAGAAATGTATAAAGACAAAAATCATCTTAAATATTCCCACTACCCATGACCACAAAAAAGTAGACATTTTGCTTTTTCTCCTCCTTGAATTTACACAGCCAGAGCTGGAGCAACAGATTGGGGAGGGTAAAGGGGGAGCTTTTGTTCCACAAAAATTTACGGGATGGTGACAGCACAAATTGCCTGGTCAGTCAGCTGCCCCAATAGCACTCAGAGTCTGGAAGCTCATCCTGAAACCACAGAACCTAAGAACTGGATGGGATCATGGGGATCATCTGGTCCAGCCCCTCATTGTAAAGATGGTCGCTGCTGGGAGGCAGGGAGTGGTGGTTCTCCAGGCCAGGCAGCGACTACAGCTAACCCAAAGTCATACCACAAGGCAGTCACAGAGCCTGGCCTGGACCGAGTGCCACAGACCTGATTCTAAGTCAAGTACACTTTCTGCTATGAGTTTTTGGTGCACTAAATATTATGACTTGGAGTGATACAAGCCAACAATTAAGAGAACTGACTTCGGGGTCAAGCAGACCTGAATTTGAGTTCTAGCTCCACACCTATTGCTATGTGACCTTGGGCAAGGTGCTTAAATTCTCTGAGCCTTGGTTTCTTCATCTGGAATAACAATAGTAATAGTTACAACTGTATAGTGTTTACTATATTCTAGGCACCGTGGCAAACATTTTTCATGCATTTAATTCATTGCCTCTTCACAACAACTTCATGAGGTAGGTATTACAATTATCTAGATTTTACAATTGGGGAAACCAACATAGAGAAAAGTAAAATAATTTGTTGGAGGTCCCATAGCTGGCAAGTAGCAGAGCCCTGCTTTGAATCCAGACCTATGATCCTAATCATTACATGAGACCTCCTCTCTTTATCCTAATAATGAAGATAATGATTTTTCCTATCTCAAAGTATCGTAGCAAAAATTAAATGAGAACATCCATGTAAAACACTCAGAACAGTGCCTACCATATATTACCTTTCAACAAATGCCAGCTGGCATTATTATTAATACCACTTCTACTGCTTTTGAGCTCCAGTGACTCTCCCAGTATGGTACTCAAATCACGAAGGTCCAAAGATTGTAAACCTATGAAGTATGAAGTATGTTGCTGTCTGCAAGGTGCTTCTAATGTACTTGTGAAGATAAATGAACACATGCAAAATCATTTGAGATAGTTAACGCTAAACTTTGTGAACCGAAGCTACTTGTTACCAGAATTCTGATTGGAAACAAAGCCAAGTAATCCCACGATGCCTTTTTGCTATCAACTTAAAAAGCAAACTTTCCTGCTATTGTATCTCAAAATGAGTTTATTTGGGAATAGCGCAAAGAATTGCAATTCGGGATGTGCATGCTATGGCAAACCATAGGCAAATCCAGAAAACAAAGGAGGGGAGCTGCTTTTATAGAGAAAAAGGGGGAGTAGGGAGGGACTGTTCTAAATGAAAGTCCGTTGGGGGAAAGTAACAGTTCAGAGCGGCAATGCTTCTCCTTAGCCGGGCAGTTACAGAGTGAGGACAGAAATCTTCCTTCAGTAGTCAAACGGTTTTACTTCCCTCCAAGATGCATCTATCTATCTCTTCCTGTTTGGTGTAATTGACGGTGTGTGATAAGGCATGAGAGCTCCCCCTACAGACCTTCCTGACTCCAACTCAGTTAAGGTTTCTTTTATTAATTTCCAACCAGCGCTCGTGGTCTTTCTTGGCCCCTAAATCATGGATCTTCTCTTACACTCTCATACAATAGTTCTCTGAGCTTCCTCTCCTAACCATCTTCTGAGAAAGGGCAGCAAAACCTTCTGATATGTATTCTACATGAAAAGATAACGTCATCTTCCTCTTCACAGCACACACCTTCCACTTCCCCGCCTTGAGCGGAAACCTGGCTCTTTCCTGCTGACGCCTTTGAGAGAGCTGCAAGGATAGATAACAGATTGCGGTTAGAGAGTGAGATGGGTTCAAGGTTTGAGACAGGGACCTGACAGCCTAGGATGCGGCCATGGGAGTGGATTCTGAAATGAAGAGGAAGACAAGTCATCAGGACTGAGGAGGTGGAAGGAGAAACTGGAAGAACAAAGTCCACAGTGACTGTTACTCCTCCCCAGCCGTCGGATCTGACTTTCCTCAGCGAATCTCAGGCTCTTCCCTCTTCCTTCCTTCCGAGCTCTGACCAGTTTGAAATTTCGTAACGCGTTAAGGTGGTCCTATGTCTGTCTCCTGGCTGGCCTGGAACTTATGAGAGTAGAGCTGTGGTTTTTAGTCACCACTCTGCCAGGACCCCGCACACGGCCTCTCGCTTTTAGAAGGTATAATGTAGTCGAGGAAGCAAAGAGAAGTGGAGTTATCAGATTCAAGCACTTCTTCTCTAAGCCAAGTACCAGTGAGCAAGTCACTTAAAATCTGAATCTTTCTTTGTCCATAAAATTGAGCAAATCGTACCTGCTTTGCAGGATTTTGTGAGCTATGTGTGAGATACTGTGGACGTGCGATGCTGCTTCTGATACAGTTTGTTGCTACACTTGTTGAATCAGGGTAAACCTGGCAGGGAGACAGACCTCCTGCCACATTTCCCAGGAGGCCGCGGGGGCAAGGAAACCTCCAGACCATAGAGCTCAGTTCCTAGCTGGGCCTCCCACTAGCCACTTCCGCTCGTTGGCCTAAAACCGCGCCTGCGCACTGCGTCTCTTCCTCTCTGGGCTGGGACCTAGTTCGCGGCGACATGGTGAGTGTTGGTCCCGGTGAGGCCTAGATGTTTATCCGTTCGCATCTCTCTGTTTTTTGATTTCTTCGACCCAACCCACCTCTGCTTGGCCGCCCGGTCCCGTGTCCTCCCCGGCCTCCGAGCCCTCGCCGCTCCTCTCGGACGGAGACCGGGGCGGAGGGGCGGGGACGGGGACGGCTTGGCGGGGGTCTGGCCCCCCGGGGCGGGTTACCAGGGTCCCCTCGGAGCACTGGGCCCGCGCTGGGCCCTGGTTTTACGGGGCTGGAATGGGGGCAGCTGGGTCGCAGGCGGGGGCCCGGCGGGTGGAGGAACGGCGTCGGAGGCGCCGGGACTTGGTGATGGTGGCGGGGGAGCGGGTCCCAGTATCGCCCGTGTCCCTCTTCACTCGCCCTGCACAGGCCAAACGCACCAAGAAGGTGGGCATCGTGGGCAAGTACGGGACCCGTTATGGGGCCTCCCTCAGGAAGATGGTGAAGAAGATTGAAATCAGCCAGCACGCCAAGTACACTTGCTCCTTCTGCGGCAAGGTGAGGTGGTCCCGGCGGGGGCGGGAGGGGGAGGCTCCCCCGGCCCTAAGTTGGGGAGCGGCTAGCATCGCGCCCCCTGTTCGTGATCAGTGTGCGACGGTCGAGTCTTGTTGGTGACTTAGGTTTTGTAGGACGTTTCTCATTTAAAGAAAACCACGCGGGAACTAAAGGGCAAAAAATGATTTGAGCGAGAGCCCCAGCCTAAAAGCGAGTGCCAGTCTTGTCTGCTGGAGCTGCTAGAGATTTTCGTTTAGTGTTTGCACGTTTATTGTGTGCAGAATACCGTAGTACCGCAGTCGTCGTGTTGGTTTTGAGGGAATGGGGGTCTTGCATATCCCTGGCGGTGTCACCACGGTGAATGCACATTCTGCCTCGGAGAACTGTGGGGTATTAGAAACAGGCGCAACCTCATAAAAGGCGCCAGCGTTGGTTGTCCGGTGCAATTGAGGCTCCTGGGTGTTTGCAAGATAAGAGACTTTTATTTGGCTCCGGGGGAAACTTGATTTGCCGTTTACAGACCAAGATGAAGAGACGAGCCGTGGGCATCTGGCATTGTGGCTCCTGCATGAAGACGGTGGCCGGGGGAGCCTGGACCTACAAGTGAGTCCCCTGCTGTGGGGGGTATTTGGAGGGGTGTGTGTGGACCACGTCCCAAGTCCAGGTTTGACGCGGGGCGGGCTGGTTTTCCCTGTTTGGCGAGACTGAGAAAGTCAGGATGGGTTTGCTTTTTCAGGACTCTTGAGAGTTAGGGTTTATTTTCAGTTATTCAAAGAATGGAAACCTACAGAAAGAAAAAGTCACGTTACCGTAGAATTGTATAGAGTGGTTAGGGTCGTCATTGCGAGCATCATCTTGATGGTGTACAGGTCCACTAGTGGGGCTGAATACGCGCTGAACCTTGACTTGCATTGCAAGTTGTTATGAAATTTAAGTCAGTTAGCTTATTATTGTGCGTGGAAACTTGAGGCCATCTGGACCGCCACGCCCTCGCCATTCTGAACAGTACTGGTGGGACTTCTTCCGATTTTTGGCCCTGACAAGGGCCAGGTAATATTGCTGAGGTGAACCTCTATGCTGGTTATTAATTGCGTGGATTCTTTTTTTTTTTTTTTTTTAAATTTTTATTTATTTATCCCCCCCCCCCCAAAGCACCATTAGATAGTGGTATGTCATAGTTGCACATCCTTCTAGTTGCTGTATGTGGGACACGGCCTCAGCATGGCCGGAGAAGCAGTGCGTCGGTGCGCGCCCGGGATCCAAACCCCGGCCGCCAGCATGGGAGCGCGCACACTTAACCACTAAGCCACGGGGCCCGCCCTGGTTATTAATTGCGTGGATTCTTGAGTTTATCCATTTCTGGATACGAAAGCCACCCTAGAAGGCCTCTGGTCTTGGAATTCGTTGCTGACCCTGAAGGCTGAGGTGTTCTTTCTTCCGCCAGTGTCTGCTTTTGCTGTCCAATACACTGGCCACTTGTGTATGAAATGATAGGGCTGGTGTGGCTGAGGGGTTGAATTTTTAATTTTAGTTCATTTAAATTTGAAACTGAAGCAGTGTAAAATATTGGAAAATGTTGAAATGATGTGAATATATGTAAGCGACTGGTGTGGCTTTTATGAGGTCAACGGGAGAGACAGAGACTAGTACAGTCTCGGTTGTGATAGTAAGATGAATTAGCATTCATGTGCCCACCGAATGGGATGGACGGTTGTGTGTTTTTCAGGCACAGTTCCTGAATCGTGTGGTAAAACTTTTTGTAGTTTTAATACCTGTCTTTCCAAAATGTGCTTTAGTTTGCTCTACTGCCTTAGACATTGTTTTCTTGATATCTCTTATTTATTGTCCCATCTTATAATTTAGTAGTTTCTTCTGACATTCTGTCCATTCCCTTTTAATGAGTTTAGATCAGACTCCTGCAGCCATTCCTCATTAATTTTTTTATGCTCTGTTTGAGAAATCAGATGCGTGAGATTGCCTGTCTAATTCTGCAAGAGCCAGAAGACGTGACTCTTAAAGGATGACATCAAAATTAAGATTGAAATGTAAAAATAAGGCAGATTTACTCATTTGCCATTTCACATGTTAACGTAGTTAATTATGTTGGAACCAAATTTGTTTTTCTTTCCAGCACCACTTCTGCCGTCACAGTCAAGTCTGCCATCAGAAGACTGAAGGAATTGAAAGACCAGTAGAAGCGCCACCATTTGAAACGTTGCTAGCCTATAATAAATGGGTTAATTTATGTAACAAGACTACTTTGGTTTGTTGTTAATTTTATTAATTAGATGTTCTGATTTGCATTGCATTAAGTTTGCTTTCTCAAAAAAGACTTGGAAGTGAAAATGTTCTATTTTTTTATTTTTTGTGAGAAAGATCAGCCCTGTGCTAGCATCTGATGCCAATTCGCCTCTTTTTTAGCTGAGGAAGACCGGCCCTGGACTAACATCCGTGCCCATCTTCCTCCATTTTATTTGGCATGCTGCCGCAGCATGGCCTGACAGGCGGTGCGTCAGTGCACACCTGGGATCCGAACCTGCAAACCCTGGGCCACCGAAGTGGAGTGCGCCCACTTAACTGCTTGTGCCACCAGGCCGGCCCCTGAAAATGTTCTATTTTTTGTTGGAAAAGCATGCTGAGATAGATGGGTTTTCATAGTCCAGTATTTTTTTTTCAGTAGTCAAATAAATAAAATATAAGACTATTAGCCTTACAGGTTAGATTTGTGTCTTAGCTTTTTATAAGTTCTTGCCAGTTTGACTTGAGATACGTTGGTTCAAATTGTGCAGACTTTTGTTTTTAAATCACAGTTAATATTTTTTAAAAATGTTTGTGAAGGGTAGGTTGACGTATATCGCCTCTTAACTTTTGGTGTTTTGTCTGACCACCCGTTGTATCAGCATCTTCAGAACCAATATGAAACAATTAGAATTTCAGAACAAATTTTGCAAATATGTACACCATACTCTGTTTTTCAGTTTGCACACAGGAATTTATAGGCTTGAATTATTCAGGTTGATACAAATGGTCACACCAATAAAAGATGAAGTTCCTTGGAGGAATTCAAGAGTTGTAAATAGTTACAGTTAACCTTTCATTGTCACCTTTATTCAGTCCATCACTTAATTCTCTGCCAGTTTTGCCTGTTGACCTCTTGTCAACTGTCTAAGCTACTATCTGTGGTGTGGACTCAGGAGCCCCCTCACTGGTATGTCTATCCTTTCTCCGCTCCGCAGACAGTAGTTTATTAAGAATGCAGATGTGAGGGAAACATGGATTTCCTATACTCTTAGGGTAGCGTAAAAACATTTGTGGCTCTTCATGGGCTGGCCCTGTCTTGTGTAACTTTCTCTTTGGCCAATTGCTTGCTCTTGTCTTTAATGCTCTGTAAGGCCTATGCATAGATTTTTCCCTTTGCTTCAGCATTGGCTCTAGCACAAACATCATTACCTCAGGGTTACACTCCTTAACTGTCAATCCCTTGTCAGACCCAAAGTAGTAACTATAGGGTTTTTGTTTGTTTGTGGTATTGTTGCTCCCAACAGTTTTGTTCACCATTATATCCCCAGTACCTAGCATAATTCCCTGTGCATAGTAGGCGTTAAGTATTTTATTGAGTAAATGCGTGGATCTCATTTTTAAAACAAAGTAGCACCTCTATCTGATTTTGTAGTGTGAGACATCGATAAGTACTTTGGGTCAGTAGGCGTAGGACCAGGAGTGACGAGTCGGTATTATCAGACTTGATAGAAATATTTGACACAGGTCTTCAGGAATCCCCAGGTGACCGGCTAGGATTTCATGCCAGCATAGAGAGTTGAGTAAGCATTAGGTGGCTGTGGTTAAGAGTCACTAACTCAGCCAGACTGCCTGGGTGGTTGTGTAGTCGAGGTTAAGTTACTTAACGTCTCAGCTTCCGTTTTCCTGAACAATTGCTGGTAGTAGAATGGAGTATATGATGGGAGCTGGGATTACTTTTATTTGGAGGCTTTTGTGTTACTTTGCTTAAGAATTTGGATTTGAGTCTGTAGTCAATAGAGAACTGTTAGAATTCTGTAAGCAGTGAGGTAATTAACATTTGTTGAGCCTGAGAATTCTAAACACTGAGTATCATTTAATCCCACAACAGCTTTATGAAGAAGTGTAGATGATGTCCTTATTTACACATGGAGCTGGGGTTTGAACCCGTGCATTCTTGGCTCGAGAGCTGATAACCCTAGACACTTTATATTGCTTTTAACATACTTGGTTTTTTATGATAAAGAGGAGAGTGGATGAGGGGCATGGAGACTAGTTAGAGGGCTGTTGAAATAGTAAATATTTTTGTGGCTAAGGAAGTAGTGACTTTCTCAAGGTTACAGGAGGCAGCTGTGGGGCGAGGGCTAATTAGGTTTCTGACTTCTCGTCCATGTTTTTCACATTGTATTAGGCTGCCTCATATTTTATGGTCTCAGAGCACATTCCTCTTTAATTTGCCGCTTTATAGATTAAAGATCCCTACCTTCATTTTACTCTCAAAACCACCTCACCCTCTAGCTTGTTTTCCCAGTGGTTTTCTGAGGCTTTGAATCTAAGTCATTTAGTTGAATTGCATCAGGATATAAAGGTGAATAAGATGTGTTCCCCACTATTAGACTCCAGGCTTACAGGCCATCTCATTGTATCTTAAATATTTGTGTGCTTGCTGTGATAAATGTCAGGTAGCCAGAAAGCCCAAACAGGAGCACATCTAACTACAGGTTTTGGTTTGGGTGTGGAGATGAGGGATGGGGATACTTGAGCTTTGTTTTAAAGGATTGTCAGCCAAAGATGAGGACTAGAGATCAAGTTTTGGAACCAAGGATGGGAACTAAGAAGGTATTTTGGGAGGACCAGAGTTGTGGACCCAACTAAGATATAATAGAAATAAAACATCTGCAGCGGCAACTTTGAAATGTAGCAACCAGAACTAAGCAGTCTACAAAGTTAAAAAATTTTTACTGTTAACTGTTTTTCTGTGGAAAACCAAAAGCCATTTTGTTGTTGATAGCACTTTGGGCCAAAATTCAACAGTGGGAAAGGGAAACTTTGAATATGTGTTTTGGGATACAAAAGGCAAAGTGAGTCAAGGGTCTAATGTCATGCTGCAATCAACCTTGTAGTCCAGGGCCGTGAGCATCGTATCAGGAGAGTGGGTGGTATGGCTGACGCCAAAGACCCACAGGTGTTTTTGTGGTTCCGCTAATGCAGAAGGGTAGGGACCATTCATTAAACCAGCGTGTGTTGACAGCTCCCTGCAGTGTGGACAGGATGTCACCACCCTCAGCTCACTAGCAGGGGTGAAACAGCATGCCTCATTAAACTGATTTACAAACTCCTAGGTTGGAAAACTATATGGTAGAGGTGTTCCAAAGTAATTCCATATATATATATATATATATGGCATTTCTAATCAAAATGCTAATTTTCCCCCCAGAACTCTCTCAAATTTATTTGGAGACAGAATTAGGAAAACAAGAAAGTCAATGTAGCATGGTGGTTAAGAACATGTATTCTAGAGTCAGAAGTAGGAGTTTAAATTTCTTACTACTAGGTAGGTGACAGTGGACAAGTTTATTCCTCTTCTGAACTTGTTTCCTCCTCTGTAAAATGGATATAATTTTTTCCTCAAACAGAACAAATTAGGTAAATTTTGTTCCAGAACTTGGTCACTAATAGTGGGGTCCAAGAACCCAGGATGAATAGAGTCCTGGGTCTTGGAGAGGGGAAGAGGACTACCTTTGGAGATACTGGTGCTGTTTTTTAGTGGGGATGTTAGACCAAAGGAGACAGAATCAGGAGGGAAACTGCCTGTGGCAAAAGGATGATTTAATGATGCCAGGAAAGGAGGAGGAGATGTGAGGTTCAGGGTGAGGAAGCTTTTTATAAGGTACATTTTTGGCCGAAGGAGAAAGAGGAGCTAAAGCAAGATTTATTGTGATGATATGAAGCCAGCGTCATGCCCTGTGTGTGTGCGCACGTGCACACGTGTGACCACAGGGCATGCCCAGAATATGGAGCATTCCTTTTTTATTGTTCAAATTTCTGTGGGTTTTTGTGGTATTCCTTGTAAGGGGAAGTTTTATTTTACTCTCTTGCATCTGATCTGCCTGTGCTATTTGTGTCTATGTGAAGTTGTCATGTGGACCTGTATGTCGTGGGTTAAATTCTAGCAAATTTATGCAGAAAATCAAGCAGTAACGTTTCCAGGTGCTCTACGTAGGTATTTTAGTCTAATTGTAGATAACTTAGTCACTCTTCAGCTTACTCCAGGCTCTGGAGAAAATAAATTATGAATTGGCTGCGTTTGCACAGGAACCATAAAAGGATTGCCCCAAGCACTATGGGAAAAGGGATGGACAACTGATAGAGTAAATGAAACCAATCAATTCTCTTCAGAGAATTTGAATCAAATGACACAAGAGCTGAGTCATGCTAAGGCAGAGCACCACGCTTTGGGAAATTTCATGGACTCCTGCTGCCAAGATCACGGAGCTGTCCCAGTTCCTACCTGTTTCTGCTAGTGTTTTTGGTTGAGTGCAATAGAGACTGATTTGAGCTAACCAAAGCAGAAGAGAGATTTACTGGAGGATAATAGTGTTCTTCACAGGATAGAAGAAAAGGACCAGGTTTGTAAGGGGAAGAAACCAGGGCTTCTTCACGGTTATCAATGGGGGAGCTAAGAGACAGTCCTCTTAAGAAATCCCCAATGAGGGGATCAGATCTGTGTTTTATGTCTTTTTGACACTTTGTTCAGGAGTCAAAACCTGAAAAGAGTGTCCAGTTGGCCTAATTGGGGTTACATTTCCATCCCTTGGCACTTTAGTAGACAGTTTCACCAAGACTACAGACAGAGGAGAAATCTCCAAAAGGAAGTGATGGGCCATAATTTTAGGAGGGCAAGTGTCTTTAACATCAGACTTGAATTATTTGGATTGTATTCTTACCATTTACTCTTTTATAAACCATCTAATTTAAAAGTAACACTTGTATTTTGTCCCTCAAACCACCTTGCAAATGGCAACTCATAGAAGAACGCTATAACATGGCCTCAAGTATACGCTGCAGGTTGTTCCCCACTTCTTTCCCATGGAAACGTGAGGCCAATGACCATGATCAGAATAGGCGCTTATGCCTGTCAGATGGTAGATGATGTCTTGGATTGAGTCATCCGTGGATAATGTGGAATGATGGCTTCCATCCTGTGGTTTTTACCCCATTCCCAGAATGTAGAA